TTTTTTTTGTCTATATTTTTTTAAATAAAGTTTGTAGTAAAAAGAGTTTCAGACACTTGAGGATCAGGATGTCCGGTTTTTGTTGACTGTCTATTTGTCCTGCTCTCTGGAATGTTGATCTTGTTGTTTTATTTGACTTTTTTAATGGATTTTTGGCTAATCAATGTTTCTCCTTTTCCTTTTTTTTTTTTTGTTTTGTTATGCGTGCTGTTTATTTTACTTTCTGAATTCTGATACCGTGAACTGACAAATTTGGATCAGTGGTGAAGTAGTTCACTTCATTTTATGCATTATCTCAATTACGAACTTATTGTGGTATTGGAATGTTAAGAATAAAGATTAGAGCTTTTTTGTTTGTTGTAAATCCGGGGTTTTTGAAACTCGAATGTCACAGGTTCAGAATTATACTGCTTTTTAGCAGTTCATTACGTGATTAAATTGGAGGTGTTTACTAACATATCATTCATGGTTCTGTGACCCTCTGGATTATAACGGTTTATCACTAAAGCGTTTGATTGTTTATATTGTGGTTTGAAGACCCTGCAGTCAAGATGCCGAGAGAGAAATACGAACTAGTTATTCTTAAAGATTTCTTCTGTGTTAGTTCATTGATCACCACATCCATTACATACAGGGATGAGAAAGGACTCTATTATGCACTGGATCTTGGTGGCACAAACTTCCGTGTCCTTCGTGTACATTTGGGTGGGAAAGACAAAGGTGTTATTGGCCAAGAGTTTGCAGAAGTTTCAATTCCTCCACATTTGATGACTGGTACTTCGGAGGTAAGCGTGTTATGGGAAAATCTATCAGACTATTAAGCGTTGTTACACTTTGATACATATTCATTATGTTGTTACAGGCATTATTTGATTTTATAGCAGCAGCTCTTGCCAAGTTTGTTGCTTCAGAACCAGAAGGTTTTCATCCTCCACCCGGCAGACAAAGAGAACTGGGTTTTACATTCTCATTCCCAGTGAGGCAAACATCAATTTCATCTGGGACTCTAATTAAGTGGACTAAAGGTTTTAATATTGAAGATACGGTAATTCTTGTTGCCTTCCTGTTATTCAAGAGGAGTGCTAGCAGTCCTAGCACACACTTTTTTACACCTACTATTGGTTAAAATATACGAGAAAGTACAGAATCACAAATGAAGCTGATTAACTATATTTGAAATGAGAGCCACAAAGTTTTTTGATCCCATAAATTCAACCAATACTGGAGAGTGTGTTATAAAGCCTATTGTTAGCATTTTTCGATATTCAATTTACTTGTGCAGACACTATTTTCTTCCGGTCACTCATCTTAATTACACTGTGACGGATAGTCCAGAAATTTGAACGAGTCACTCTCTCTTGTATAAAGTTTTGCAAGTCTCCAGATATTGCAATAGTACAATCATTATTTGCCTCATTATAATTCAAAACTGCATCTTAGCCATAGGATCTTTCATTTTTTTTATAGAGTGAATTTCTTGTTGTTTCTCTGATCTCTTGCTGAGCATGGATACTCCTTCATTGTTCGTTTGTAGGTTGGTGAAGATGTAGTGGGAGAGCTAACCAAGTCCATGGAAAAAATTGGGCTGGATATGCGAATTGCTGCTCTAGTCAGTCTCACTGTTCTCTCTTTTTTTATTTATATTTTATGGCTATGATCTGAGTATGACGATTTCCAATGTGTCTGACTGAGTTTTTTGAGTTACAAGATTTTATTATGTCAGTTTTATTTTATTTTAAGTCATTCTTGGTGGTTTAATATATAAACTGGAAATGAAACTTAACTTGCTGATTTGATGTAGGTTAATGATACCATTGGAACATTAGCTGGAGGCAGATTCTACAATCAGGATGTAATTGCTGCTGTGATTCTTGGTACTGGGACAAATGCAGCATATGTAGAACGTGCACAAGCTATTCCAAAATGGCACGGCCTTATACCAAAATCTGGAGATATGGTATGTAGGTTATGAATGTGTGAGATTTAATTTCTTGTGAAAGAGTTATCTTTACCGTGTTGCTATCTGGTGTTACTATATGGTGACGAAGCATGCTCTGATTATTTCTAAATGTTATAGGTTATAAACATGGAGTGGGGTAATTTCCGATCAAATCTTTTTCTAACAGAATATGATCTGGCTCTTGATGCTGAGAGTTTAAACCCTGGAGAACAGGTAATAATCATCTAAAGTATCCATTATTTAATTAACTAATGCAACTCTAACATTATTCCACTGTTGCTTACAGATTTTTGAGAAATTGATTTCGGGCATGTATTTGGGGGAGATTATTAGAAGAGTTTTGTTGAAGATGGCTGAAGAAGCTGACTTTTTTGGAGATACTGTTCCACCCAAATTGAAAGTTCCTTTCATACTTAGGTATGCTAATTCATACTGGCAAACGTAGTTGTTAATACTGCACTGGTGTAGAAGTGGCCAGCGGCTGCTATTTGGCATTTTTGTGGTGTGGGAGTCATGACTGTGAATAGGAATCATCGTCTCTCTCTATTTTTGATAGAGAGAGAGGCAGAGATACAGAAAGACCCACCATTTTTTCTGTCACTAGAAGTTCAAAATGAACATGAGATCAAACAGCAGTGCTGGTAAAGTGCAGCTCTGTTTCTGGCAAATCCGCTGCACTTGTCAGTTCTGGTGTTGTTTCCAACTTTCCAGTGAACCCTTATCTTGTTCTTTTCTTCTGCTCTGTACTCTACTATGGAGCTCTCTATGTTCTGTATAACAGACCAACATAGGTCCTTCATTTCACTGCTCTGTCCCTTCTTTTCCCTGGTCTTCTTAGGTCTGTTTGGTTAACATGATAAGATATGGAATGATAGGATAAGAGTGTGTGAAAATTAGCTTATGGACAAACCATAAACCATTTTCATCTGCTCTTCCAAACACTTTCATAAGTGCTTATGTCATAAGATAAACCTAAAGTTCTAAATAAGCTTTTCCAAAGACACCATGATATGAATTCAGTAAGCTCTTGTCCTATCCTGTCTTTGGTAGACACAGAATAACAACTAAATAGTATTATATTATTCTATCATGTGTTTTGAGATGGACCAAATAATGGCATGTGATGCAAGTCATAGTAAATGGCAAAATTACCCTTGTGACACAATTGCATATCACTTTTTGTAAGTTAACTTTGATATAGTTTTGTCAAATTTTCTATTGTTTAAATAATAAAAAACGTAACAAAATAATTACCTAATTTTAATAAAGTTATTTAAATATATAAATATCTAATTTTAATATGGATGCATTGAATTTTAGAGCTATTATTTCTAAATCTTGTATTGAACTCAATTAAATTTTAAATTGTAAATAAATTATGTAAAGTAGCAAAATAATTTTAACTAAAAGAGTGTAACACGTAATGTACATATTTTATATGCTTAAAAAAATTCATTCCCATTTTAAAATAACATGGAGAATGTGGATGTGATGATAACTTGATTCGTGAGCTGCCACTGATAAAAAGGAGAACAAGTGATGCAGTGAGAGTGCAAAAGAAACACAGTACGGGGACAGATGGACGGAGAGAACTTAAGTGGAAAATATTTTAATCTTATCCTGTTAGCTTCCAACATAGAATCACAGGATAAAATTTAACTGGTGAAAAAGATAGGATAGGATTAGGTGATAAGGTTGTCTGATCATATCCAATTGGTTCACAAAACAATGGATTAAGATATGATATCTTCCTTACCACGATCACCAATCTATCCCTTAGTTGTAATGAGTTTTGTCTCTTTTTTTTTGTTCTTTGACTTTCGGTGCCATTGACTCGTGTGTTTAGCTTAAAACTACAATTTTTTACAACTTAATTTTTGGTATGTATTTTTAAATGTTTAAGGATTGATACATGACTAGTATAAATTATATAACTGATAATCATACCTTCAAAATTGTGGTCATTCCATTATGTGCTATCCAGCCACATCGGTTTTAGGGTCTGGCTACTTAGCGCCACTGTCTGGAAATGGTTACTGCCACCAAACAGTCGTTTTTTTTTTGTCTTGGATGATACCTGTCAATATTGGTACATGACCTTCATATGGAGTATTCTTTTACTGCATATTTACGTGCCAGTAATGATTCTGATGCTTAGCCTAGTTGTTTAATTTCATGAATTACACAGAAACCTGAGAAAATTAAGATGCATGCTCTGTTTAGACTTTTTATGTGGACCACTTCAGTATCATCATGTATTTAATTTTTGACAAAGTGTTGTTCCCCCCTTTTCTATTTAAATCTTATTTCTCAAGATTGCTTGATATTTGCTCTGTTGTTAATTGATGACCAAGGTCGTCACATGAACTAACTTGTGCATCAATTTTTTTTGGAACTTGTAAATCAAGACAAGAATGCTGCAATACAAGATTGGGTTGTCATTGCCTCTTTTGGGGTTTGCTTGGTGGGTTGGTAGGAGATACAGGGATAAGAGAAAAGATGAACGTGGTGGGGAAAGATTTATTACCATTTTTTTAGGCGGTGTAAATAGGGAAATGATAATATTATTCTCTATGTATAAGCTTAAGATAGAAGGACAACTAAGAAATTATTTTGTGGCATTATTGGGATTACATTTTCATCCGAAAATGTGGCGAAAGTTTTGGCTAAGACTGGAGTGTGACGAAAGTTTTAGCCTTTTCATTTTCAGCTGTTTTTTTTTTCTGTGCTTATACCAATCAATCTTAATAAATTGTATTCAATTCTCATTTTAGCTGTTATTCCACAGTGTACACTGTTTATGCTACCCGTGCCCTTGTTGAATTGCATAACCCTTCATTGCAACATATATTCAGAGTTTTAACATCATTTTTATTAGGACACCTGACATGGCAGCCATGCACCACGACACTACTCCTGATCTGAAAGTGGTTGGAAACAAATTAAAGGATACATTAGAGGTATGCATGCTCTTCTAAGATTTTGAAATATTGCTATCATGTCTCACCATTCTATAAATTGATTTTTCTTGAATTGGATGTGGGGGGGACAGAAATTATGACGATAAGATAAACTACACCTATTCTTTGTGACATGTCTTTTAAAGTAAATAGCATTCTGATTATGTTTAGGGCAATAAAAGTTGGTGCTTCTAATGCTCCTCATTTTGTCAGATCTCGAACACTTCCCTAAAAATGAGGAAGATTGTTGTGGAACTATGTGACATTGTTGCTACTCGCGGGGCCCGCCTTGCTGCTGCTGGTATTTTGGGCATCCTCAAGAAACTAGGAAGAGACACAGTTAAGGTTGGGGAGAAGCAAAAGTCAGTGATAGCATTGGATGGAGGATTGTATGAACACTACACTAAATTCAGAGAATGCCTGGAGAGTACACTGAATGAATTGCTGGGAGAGGAGGCTGCTGAGACCATTGTCATTGAGCACGCTAATGATGGCTCCGGCATTGGTGCAGCCCTTCTAGCAGCTTCTCAATCCCAATATTTGGGAGTGGAGGAGTCTTAAATTATTGCCGAGGGAATGTAATACTAGTTTCATTTTTTTCTTAGGTAATAGATCAACACATTGAAGCAATGATGCCTTGGTTATTGGTCTTGCAGATCATGTCCACCGGGAGGGATCTCTCTTCTTACTGGGGCATTCATTATTTTGGTTCGGGGTTTGTTTCTCCTTCGTTAAGGAATAATATCAAAGATATAAACTTTATCATGAGTGACTAGTCACCTTTTGCGGATGTAGCCAACCGGAATAAATCAGAACTTAATGCACTGAGAAGCCTAAGTGCTTTTTTATTCAAACCTTTTCTGAGTTATCAGGAGTTGTTGCTGTTATTGTTGTAGTATTTCATTATCTTGTATGAAACACGCTAAGTTTTTCAATTTTTTTGTCGGTGATATTTGTTTTTCTGAGTTATCAGGAGTTGTTGCTGTTATTGTTGTAGCAAATCTTGGATTTGTTTTTTTCTTTTTCTTGTTCATGAGAAAAGTAAACATGTTTTTATCATATCTTTTGTGAAAATACATAAATATCAGAGAGCTTAGATTTGGCGAAATGTCTTGTGCTGTTCTCTTGTCCGCAAGAAAGTAACAAGGCACAAGAGAAAGGTTTTGGATCTGTGGTATTTTAGTGCAAAACATGCAACCGCAAGTTTTAACGCGTTTTGTAGACTAGTGAAGTGAGGTGAGCTAAAAGAGTAAAAGAGTTTCAACTCATTGAAACCAAAATCTCTTTCTGAAAGGGTTGTTGAGTAGAGAAAAAATATGACTCATCACGAAGCAGTAGTTTCATTATTAAAGATGCATCTGACAAATCGGTAACGGTAAGAGCAAACGCGTCTGTCTTCTATAAAAATCAACTAACGATATTATTGCTTGTTTTAATTTAACTCCAATAATGAAATCAAGACAAATGCTTTGGGTGGCCGATTTTGGTTTGTCATCTTTCTGTATTCTAATCGAACATTTTTACTATGATGCAACATAAGCCAGTCTACCTAGCTGTCCTTATCAACATTTTCCTTTCGTTGAGGAGAGTAAATTGTTGTCAATCTTTTCACTACGAATATGGGTTGGATCCAGCAAACAGCACTGTATATCAAAGGAAAATTGAGTGGAAATTGACGTTTAAAGATTTTGGCGTGGTTTAACGGAGCATAACTTGAGAATAGATAGAGAGAAGGCTTTCACAAGTAAACAACATTCATAGGTCCAAGTCCAATCCAAACATCACAGCAAAAACAAAAAGTATAAAACCTACACTACAGCAAACATCAACCTTGGTTTTTGCGTGGCCAACTACAACCTCTTAATCGGTGTTGTTTTTTAACCCATCGACTAGGAAACCTGAAATAAAGCGAATTGCCATTGCCGCCACCCCAAATTGCTATCAGCCTCCTTCTATGCATTCTGGAAGCTACACTTCCATGATGTGAAAACTTCATTGAAAATAGGATAATTTGTTCATAACTAAATGATACAACAATGTTATAACTCTTCAGATAAAGAGGTAGGAAACATTAAACCCCCAATTGATACCAAAGGATTCTCCAATGAGAAAAAGGGTAAAACTCAATCACCAGACTTTATTATGCCATAGCGTTGTGTGAGACAGCAGAGTGGAGAGGGCAATGCAGTAGAAGTAAAATAGTAACAGACGAGAGAGAGAATGGTTGCTTTGAGATTTCAGGCATCGGAGGGAGGAAGAGAGACATTGTTGAGTCGCTCGAGTACCAAAATCAGAGCCTGAGTACCCAAATATCCTTCACCATGAGCCTTAAGCGACAAATAAAGCTGTTGAGCAAGAGCCAAACCAGGCAAAGCAATCCCCATGTTCTGACATTCCTTCAGACAAATCCCCAAATCTTTAACAAAGTGGTTCACGAAAAACCCCGCTTCAAAATCCCTCTTTAAGATCCTCTTTCCGTACAAGTCCAGCGACTTCGAACCGGCCGCGCCGGTGGAAATCGCCTCCAGGTACAACCCTACATCCAACCCCGCCTTGTGCGCGTACACCATTCCCTCCACCAGCCCCACCATCGTCGACGCTATCGTCACCTGATTCGCCAATTTCGCGAATTGCCCCTTCCCACTCCCTCCCATGTAGTTCACTTTCCCCATCACTGAAAACAAGGGTTCCAGATTCTTCACTGTCGATTCCTCCCCGCCGGCGAAAATCGCTAGGGTTCCGTTCTTCGCGCCTCGGTCGCCGCCGGAGACGGGGGCGTCGACGGAGTGACAGCCTTTGCCCGCGGCTGCCTCCGCAATTTCGGCGGCGAGGGAGGGCTCCGAGGTGGTCATGTCAACTAGGACACCGCCGGGGCGGAGGGCGGCGAGCGCACCGGAGGTTGGGTGGAGGAGGACGGAACGCACGTCGGAGGGGTAGCCGACGATGGAGAATACGACATCGGAGCGGGAGGCGACGGCGTTGGGGGAAGCAGCGAAGTGGGCCCCGAGGTCGACGAGAGGTTGGGCCTTGGAAGCAGTGCGGTTGAAGACGGTGAGAGTGTAGCCGGCCCGGATGAGGTGGGCGCACATGGACTGGCCCATGACGCCAGTGCCGATCCAGCCCACACGAGTGTTTGATGGGCTTATGGGCTCGGCGGCGGCCATGAAGTTTCGGACGGTGGAGGAGTAGCAGTGGCGGATACGACAGTGGAGGGAGCGGAGATTTAGCAGGGGAGAGGTGAGCGGCATGTCTCTTCTTTTGCCAGCCACATATATATCGGTAATTTTTCGCGTCCGATTATCCTGTTATGTGGTTAACCTTAGAGAATTTTTTTTATTTATTTTATTCTTCAATTAAAGGCGAACTCGGTTCGAGTTTGACTCACCAAGTGAAAAAAGTATTATTTGTAATTACAGTTGCAAATTCTTGATTTTTTTTTCAATGTTTGTAGGAGCTAAGAAAATACTAATTTTATTGATTTCTATCCTTATTAAGGAGCTAAGAAAAAAAAAATCGAATATAAAAAAGTGATGTTATCTAAAGTTCAAATAATATTTTTCCAAAAAATAAAATAAACTATTTATTTATACATTATGGTTAAATTTTGGATCAACCAGATTAAATATTATTGGATATATTTAATTTAATTTCAATGTTTTGTTTCTGTAAATTGTAAAATTAGTATATTTTTCATATTTACATAAGATTTCATTATTAATTTACATTTTCTTACTTTTATGATTATTTTAAAATAATTTATTAATCAATAAAAGATCAAATAAGAACATTAAACGGTGTCGTTTAATTGCCCCTCTGAACAATAACGAATCATCTCCTGTAGTCTCTGTCTGCCCTAATTTCGCATGCACATCTATGTAGGAAAGAAAGATAAGGCATTATCATTTTGAAAACTTCACTGTACTTTAATCCAGTTTTCACATGGTTGCTCCTTCCTCAATCCATTCTATCAATACTTGAGATTCTTTTCTGGGTTTTCACTTTGACGAGTTCGTAGTTATTCTAGTGCTACCTCAATGTACACCAACATCTCCAAAGTCCAGGCATTTCCTTTTGCCGCTAAAATCTCTTCGCAACCCAAATGCTTCGCTTCACCCAACGCCTTAAGGTCCCTATCTTTACCGCTTGCTTATAATCAAAACCACATCTTAATGATCCCCACTTCACATAAATTTGGAACCTCGGAAGCGGGGAAGTTAGCAAATCCGTACGGCTTTATGGTACAAATTGCTAGAAGGTATTATAGGTCAAGAAGTGGCGAAAAACAACTTCCTTGGTTAGAAGTGGCTAATGAGGTTCAGGGAGAAGGTAAGGTGGTGGAGAAAGCAAAGATGACTAGGATTAGTGCCTCTATCCAGGAAGGTTCAGCAAAGAAGGTGAGTGCTAAGTCCTCTTGGGAACAATCCATTGAAAGGTTAGATAAAAGTCATAAAACAACAGTTCCAGAAATTAAGCCGAGATCAGCAACGGCTGCAACAGTTTCTATGAAAGGCGGTGCATCAGCAGCTGCTAGTAAGGAAAGGAAGAGTGGATTGGTTGAGAAAGCTGGAGAGCACAGGAGTGATTATGGCAAAAGGTATGTGAAGTATGATGATAGTGACGAGGAAGAAGTTGATGATGAAATGGGGGAGGAGATTGAGGATCCAAGGTGGGATAACATAAAGAATAGGTTCAAGGGGACGGTGGGGGCAAAAGTTGGAACGGAGAGACCCGAGTTTCGAAGATGGAATAAGCAGGAGAACTGGGGTAGAAAGACATGGAAAGAGGCCACTGAATCCACTGTGCCTAAGATTGTTGGTGAAGGGATTTATGGGGTTGGTCCTGTTTTGGCTGCATTGTCAGCTGATCGAAGGGAGTTCTATGCATTGTATGTTCAAGAAGGATTGGATTTGAGTAGCAATAATAGGAAGAAGAAGGACAAGAAAGGCTTTGAAAGAGTTCTAAAGATTGCTGAGAAGCTAGATTTGAGTGTAAAAGAAGCATCAAAACACGATCTGAATATGGTGGTTGATAACCGTCCTCATCAAGGTTTGGTTTTAGATGCTTCACCACTAGAGATGGTGAAAATAAAGGAACTGGACCCTGTTTCTGTTGATGAGGGGAAGGGTTCCCTTTGGATAGCTTTGGATGAGGTTACCGATCCACAGAATTTAGGGGCAATAATTAGGTCTTCATACTTTTTTGGAGCGACTGGGGTAGTTTTATGTGCCAAGAATTCAGCTCCATTGAGTGGTGTTGTGAGCAAAGCAAGTGCAGGCTCTCTTGAGTTAATGGAACTTAGATATTGCAAGAATATGATGCAATTCTTGGTGTCTTCAGCTGAAAATGGTTGGCGGGTTCTTGGGGGCTCTGTCTCCACCAAAGCTATTTCTTTGGATGAGGTTGTACCAGGTCCGCCTACTATTCTTGTTTTGGGCAGCGAGGGCACTGGTTTGAGACCATTGGTGGAGAGATCATGCACTCAGTTAGTTAGGATTCCTGGGAATATTCCTCTTGACCCAAATACTAGTGAATTGGATGGTGAAAGTAATGATTTGAATGCTCAGAGCTCTGGTAGAGAGTTTCTATCATTTTTGGCCGTGGAAAGCTTAAATGTTAGTGTTGCAGCAGGTGTACTTGTTCACCATTTAATTGGGAAGAAGTTAGTGGATTCATTGCCAGAGGACAATAAACAGGTTGTCGTGTCTGAGTGAGACGCATTGCCTCAATTTATTTAGTTCTATCTTACTTACTGTTTGCCGATGGATCACAGCTTTTGTTTCTTTGAATACAGTGTAATTTCTCCTTCTTTATCACTTGATTATGTATTCATATTATTATCATGTAAGAAAGTTGGTCTGTCCTGCCGTGGAGTCGGTTCACAATTTTGCCTGCAATATAACTTGAAGGCTAAATATAGTTTACATCATTATTCAAATGAAGGAGAATTGATCAATTAAATCAAAAGTCGAGGCTTCTGCTGCTTATCACATTGAAGTTGTATTAGTTTATAGTTGTGTTATTTTTAACTTGAATTATATTGTTTTGAGTTTCAGATGTGATTTTTTCATTATAAATCAAATTTGAAACAATTGAAAATTGAAAATTATGATTTATTTTTATTGTGGTTACTGTGTTCTCTGTGTTGAAGTTTATGAGTTGGCTGCTTCTTTCTCCTGAATTTTGCCCATTGTCTCCATATAACATGAAACCGGTGGCCTACTTATACTCTTAACTTTAGCTGAATCCCTATGACTCCATGACAAGTGGCACCATCTAACGGAGTATAATTACTTTTACCTGTTCTTGTTGCTTTTTCTTTCTGGTTATTGTTGAAGTTCTGAAGGACTTTTGGGTTAAACGTGTTATTACTTTCTGCATTGTTTGTAAAATGTATTACCCATTCTTGCAGAGTAAAGTTTCAGGCTCAACAACACCCACTGTTAGGCAACTGAGATCTTTTCAAACTGAAAATATCAAGAACAGAAATAGAGAATAGGAAACAAATAGTTTTTCTGTATTAAAATTAGTAGACGACTGTGCTAAAGAGCAATCCCTTTCTGAACCAAACACAACTTCTCAAGGACCAACTCAACAAATGTCTGACTAACGTCTACTATAACTCTTTGTCTTGAATAGACCTTTGGACTTGAATTACAGACTGGGCATCCTAACCCACACCTACAGTTTCTTACCTCTTCTTGTGGTTTGTGAGCTCAGTTCGTCCAGCATTAGAGCCACATGACATCAAGATCTTGTTTTGGCATATGTTAGGACTGTTGGAAAGGGGTAGTTAATTAGCATCTTTAGATCATTTGTAGGTAAAGGGAGTTACTGGAGGGAAAGGAATTGTTTCATATTTGTTATCATTTGTAAATAGACAATAATCTCTTTGGGATATGAGGAATCGTTGTGAAATGGAAACCTGATCTCTCTCCTTTGTTCTGTTGTGTTGCCATCAGTCAAGAAATGCTATCTTTCTTTTCTTTTCTCTACTTTCAGTTCCAGGTTGCGAACGGTCTCATTAATGAATGGCTAGGTTCCGAATATGATGAGTAATAACTGTTGCCATGCAGTTGCAGTTCCAGCAGATTGAACTTTATGATACACACTAGCATTGCGTTAAGGTTCTCCACTTAATGGTTTATCCTGAATTCTCTAAAGAAAATACCTTTTGTTTTGTACTTATACACACCGTATTTTAATCTTCCCTTGTATTTTAGATATTTATATTTTGGCAACCAAGAATTAATTTGTTTATTTCATACTCGTAAGATTTGTATTACCAGAAGCAGTATCACAATCATCTTTTTCAGTGTTATATTTAAGAAATTTATTATTTGTAAATAATAGATGCTTCTATTCTGGAAAGACAGTATGTAACATATAGGCATGATATAACTGGAGCATTACAATTTTCATTCGTGACCGTTATTATGCAAAGATCTTCTGCATGTCTTGAGCAAGGCACGACATGCCTTAGTTTACACTAAATAAATGTTAGAATATACAAAAATATCTTATCATATCCTATCACATTTTAAATTATCTTTTGGTTCAATTTCTCTGTTCATCTTTATCTCTTATGAATAGTTATCATCTTTCTTTATCTTAGTATGATTTCCTCCACATGTTTAGTTAGATTAATATACATTAGAGTTAGTATTATAAATTTAATGAATATATAAAAAATATTCTGAAATTGTGATATATTTCTATTAACATTAATTCAGTGATAGATTTCTCTCAATTCTTTCCTTTCCTCCACATGGTTATCTAGAGCAGTATGCGATGTCATCCTCTTTGTCTTACTGTTTTCAACTTCATTCTTTCTTAAAAAATAAAATTAATTTGTTTTATAGAACTTTCTCCCGAACTTATCTTACTTTCTGCAACTTTTTGCTTAATTTCGAATAGTTAAAATTGCTGTGTATCTTCTTCTCAGAAAGTTTGTATCTCCCTTTTTGGCTCCATGGTTGAACTCGCTTGCCTCTGTTCAAATCTGTGATAGCTTTGGACTTCAGGTTGAGTGTGTCTCCTTCAATAATATGTTTTTTTGTCTTTATTTTTACCCTAGCTATGTCCCATGGAGTGTTGTCGGTGTCCCAGTCTTTACTTCTTTGGATGTGACTTTAGGCTTTTACTTTGATGTTGTTTGTCTCTCGCTATTTTTTATATCTTATTTGGTCTTTGGATCTCTCTTGAATGTCTTTATGCTATGTTAGTTTAGTGCCTTAATGAGCACCCTTTCAGTCCATAAAGGATAATCTGGAAAGTAAAACTACTGCTTCACACCTGATCTCCCCTCTTGTTTGACACCCATGTTTGATTTGTTGTGTCCCTCTAGTTGTTCGGTGGCTGTGCAATATTTTTAGGTTGTTCTTTCCCTGACTTTTTTAGGACTTATTTGTTTTCTATTAGAAGGAGGGTTTTCTTTATAATAAGCTTTAAATTGAGTGTTAGAACCTGTGGAAATGTCTTTATTTTTTATTAGAATATCGTAGATGATTCTTCAGGATTAATGCTTTCTTTATATACCGGACTAATTACATATAACTTCATCATATCATGATCTACTCCTCTGATTTTCAAGGATTAAGTTTGATATTAACAAAGGTCACATGTTCTATGAATATACCAGATATATAGATACAGTGTGGTACATCTCAGTTAATAGCTAGTAGCAAGAATTGGATGCAGATAGAGAGATAGAGGAACTCTTATAATCTAATTACATATTATCATACAATAAAAAATTGTAAACTTCAATTAAGGGAAACAGATTGTACAATATGGTAAGAGTTGATCAAAATCATAAGGAAATTTCTCTCTGTCTGTCTGTCTGATACATACACATGCCCACAAAAATTATGGGGATAAGAGGAATAGGAACAAGATAACAAAGTTCACTGTGCAAGAGCCTCATCATTAAATAATATATGGACATAGCAGCAACACAGCGAAAAAACACTCTCCTATATGGCCCTTAAGATAAGGGGATTTTTTGTTTCTTTCCTTAAATTTCATTTGGTACTTATGTTTCCATAGTTTTTATCATCATCATCATATATATATATATATATATAAGCATTGCAATTTTAAGTGGTCAACAGCTTGTAATTCCTTGATATATCTTATTTTTGAAAGTTGAAGTGAATGCTCTTAATTTTTCAGAATCCCAACATAAAGTAGCAGAAAAACATTATTCCTACTAAAAGCATGGATGTCACATGATTTTCGAGTTAGTCTAAACTGAAATTCAAGTTTTATATTACCAAAAACATATTCTGGAGTTGTAGTGTTGACATTTTTGAAGTTGGACCTGTTGTACAGGCAATTATTTTTGGAACTTTTAATGTGAACACCCTTCTTCAATTAGAAATCAAAATTTGCTTCACTATTTATTTATTTATTTTATTTTGAAGGACTGAGCCACACATGAACAACAAATTATCAAATACTTATTTTCCTCTTTTCCTTCTGACAATTGGAATCACTATCTTATTTTAAAATATTTATCCTGTTTCACCTCTTAAATGAATAATGTCAAATGCCATTTTTCATTTGGAAGTAGTACTTCTGATAAGAGATTAATTTCTATCTTCTGAGTATAAATAATTATGGATGACAACGAAGTAATTATGCTCATTCCTCTTAATTTATATATATATTTCCTACTATGAGTTTCTACAACTTTGTTAGGTCAGAAAATAGTCTCAACCTTCATACTAAAAATTTTACTTGACAAGTTTTCAACCTTTATAATCAACTATACAGCTGCATGAATACTTATATGGTGCGCCAAAATATATATATTTGAATTGTTAATTTCCTGACTTAATATATATATATATATATATATATATATATATATATATATATTTCTTAACTTATATAACCTCTTAAAGTGTATCAAATTTTTAGTTGATAAAAAAATTTTATTCATAAAAGCAGACATACTTTAAACATAGAGATATTTTTAATATTTATTTTTAATTTAAAATAAAAAAAATAAAAAATTATTCAAATATCCTTAAAATTAGCAAACCTCACACACACACACACACACACANACCAGGCAAAGCAATCCCCATGTTCTGACATTCCTTCAGACAAATCCCCAAATCTTTAACAAAGTGGTTCACGAAAAACCCCGCTTCAAAATCCCTCTTTAAGATCCTCTTTCCGTACAAGTCCAGCGACTTCGAACCGGCCGCGCCGGTGGAAATCGCCTCCAGGTACAACCCTACATCCAACCCCGCCTTGTGCGCGTACACCATTCCCTCCACCAGCCCCACCATCGTCGACGCTATCGTCACCTGATTCGCCAATTTCGCGAATTGCCCCTTCCCACTCCCTCCCATGTAGTTCACTTTCCCCATCACTGAAAACAAGGGTTCCAGATTCTTCACTGTCGATTCCTCCCCGCCGGCGAAAATCGCTAGGGTTCCGTTCTTCGCGCCTCGGTCGCCGCCGGAGACGGGGGCGTCGACGGAGTGACAGCCTTTGCCCGCGGCTGCCTCCGCAATTTCGGCGGCGAGGGAGGGCTCCGAGGTGGTCATGTCAACTAGGACACCGCCGGGGCGGAGGGCGGCGAGCGCACCGGAGGTTGGGTGGAGGAGGACGGATCGCACGTCGGAGGGGTAGCCGACGATGGAGAATACGACATCGGAGCGGGAGGCGACGGCGTTGGGGGAAGCAGCGAAGTGGGCCCCGAGGTCGACGAGAGGTTGGGCCTTGGAAGCAGTGCGGTTGAAGACGGTGAGAGTGTAGCCGGCCCGGATGAGGTGGGCGCACATGGACTGGCCCATGACGCCAGTGCCGATCCAGCCCACACGAGTGTTTGATGGGCTTATGGGCTCGGCGGCGGCCATGAAGTTTCGGACGGTGGAGGAGTAGCAGTGGCGGATACGACAGTGGAGGGAGCGGAGATTTAGCAGGGGAGAGGTGAGCGGCATGTCTCTTCTTTTGCCAGCCACATATATATCGGTAATTTTTCGCGTCCGATTATCCTGTTATGTGGTTAACCTTAGAGAATTTTTTTTATTTATTTTATTCTTCAATTAAAGGCGAACTCGGTTCGAGTTTGACTCACCAAGTGAAAAAAGTATTATTTGTAATTACAGTTGCAAATTCTTGATTTTTTTTTCAATGTTTGTAGGAGCTAAGAAAATACTAATTTTATTGATTTCTATCCTTATTAAGGAGCTAAGAAAAAAAAATTCGAATATAAAAAAGTGATGTTATCTAAAGTTCAAATAATATTTTTCCAAAAAATAAAATAAACTATTTATTTATACATTATGGTTAAATTTTGGATCAACCAGATTAAATATTATTGGATATATTTAATTTAATTTCAATGTTTTGTTTCTGTAAATTGTAAAATTAGTATATTTTTCATATTTACATAAGATTTCATTATTAATTTACATTTTCTTACTTTTATGATTATTTTAAAATAATTTATTAATCAATAAAAGTTCAAATAAGAACATTAAACGGTGTCGTTTAATTGCCCCTCTGAACAATCACGAATCATCTCCTGTAGTCTCTGTCTGCCCTAATTTCGCATGCACATCTATGTAGGAAAGAAAGATAAGGCATTATCATTTTGAAAACTTCACTGTACTTTAATCCAGTTTTCACATGGTTGCTCCTTCCTCAATCCATTCTATCAATACTTGAGATTCTTTTCTGGGTTTTCACTTTGACGAGTTCGTAGTTATTCTAGTGCTACCTCAATGTACACCAACATCTCCAAAGTCCAGGCATTTCCTTTTGCCGCTAAAATCTCTTCGCAACCCAAATGCTTCGCTTCACCCAACGCCTTAAGGTCCCTATCTTTACCGCTTGCTTATAATCAAAACCACATCTTAATGATCCCCACTTCACATAAATTTGGAACCTCGGAAGCGGGGAAGTTAGCAAATCCGTACGGCTTTATGGTACAAATTGCTAGAAGGTATTATAGGTCAAGAAGTGGCGAAAAACAACTTCCTTGGTTAGAAGTGGCTAATGAGGTTCAGGGAGAAGGTAAGGTGGTGGAGAAAGCAAAGATGACTAGGATTAGTGCCTCTATCCAGGAAGGTTCAGCAAAGAAGGTGAGTGCTAAGTCCTCTTGGGAACAATCCATTGAAAGGTTAGATAAAAGTCATAAAACAACAGTTCCAGAAATTAAGCCGAGATCAGCAACGGCTGCAACAGTTTCTATGAAAGGCGGTGCATCAGCAGCTGCTAGTAAGGAAAGGAAGAGTGGATTGGTTGAGAAGGCTGGAGAGCACAGGAGTGATTATGGCAAAAGGTATGTGAAGTATGATGATAGTGACGAGGAAGAAGTTGATGATGAAATGGGGGAGGAGATTGAGGATCCAAGGTGGGATAACATAAAGAATAGGTTCAAGGGGACGGTGGGGGCAAAAGTTGGAACGGAGAGACCCGAGTTTCGAAGATGGAATAAGCAGGAGAACTGGGGTAGAAAGACATGGAAAGAGGCCACTGAATCCACTGTGCCTAAGATTGTTGGTGAAGGGATTTATGGGGTTGGTCCTGTTTTGGCTGCATTGTCAGCTGATCGAAGGGAGTTCTATGCATTGTATGTTCAAGAAGGATTGGATTTGAGTAGCAATAATAGGAAGAAGAAGGACAAGAAAGGCTTTGAAAGAGTTCTAAAGATTGCTGAGAAGCTAGATTTGAGTGTAAAAGAAGCATCAAAACACGATCTGAATATGGTGGTTGATAACCGTCCTCATCAAGGTTTGGTTTTAGATGCTTCACCACTAGAGATGGTGAAAATAAAGGAACTGGACCCTGTTTCTGTTGATGAGGGGAAGGGTTCCCTTTGGATAGCTTTGGATGAGGTTACCGATCCACAGAATTTAGGGGCAATAATTAGGTCTTCATACTTTTTTGGAGCGACTGGGGTAGTTTTATGTGCCAAGAATTCAGCTCCATTGAGTGGTGTTGTGAGCAAAGCAAGTGCAGGCTCTCTTGAGTTAATGGAACTTAGATATTGCAAGAATATGATGCAATTCTTGGTGTCTTCAGCTGAAAATGGTTGGCGGGTTCTTGGGGGCTCTGTCTCCACCAAAGCTATTTCTTTGGATGAGGTTGTACCAGGTCCGCCTACTATTCTTGTTTTGGGCAGCGAGGGCACTGGTTTGAGACCATTGGTGGAGAGATCATGCACTCAGTTAGTTAGGATTCCTGGGAATATTCCTCTTGACCCAAATACTAGTGAATTGGATGGTGAAAGTAATGATTTGAATGCTCAGAGCTCTGGTAGAGAGTTTCTATCATTTTTGGCCGTGGAAAGCTTAAATGTTAGTGTTGCAGCAGGTGTACTTGTTCACCATTTAATTGGGAAGAAGTTAGTGGATTCATTGCCAGAGGACAATAAACAGGTTGTCGTGTCTGAGTGAGACGCATTGCCTCAATTTATTTAGTTCTATCTTACTTACTGTTTGCCGATGGATCACAGCTTTTGTTTCTTTGAATACAGTGTAATTTCTCCTTCTTTATCACTTGATTATGTATTCATATTATTATCATGTAAGAAAGTTGGTCTGTCCTGCCGTGGAGTCGGTTCACAATTTTGCCTGCAATATAACTTGAAGGCTAAATATAGTTTACATCATTATTCAAATGAAGGAGAATTGATCAATTAAATCAAAAGTCGAGGCTTCTGCTGCTTATCACATTGAAGTTGTATTAGTTTATAGTTGTGTTATTTTTAACTTGAATTATATTGTTTTGAGTTTCAGATGTGATTTTTTCATTATAAATCAAATTTGAAACAATTGAAAATTGAAAATTATGATTTATTTTTATTGTGGTTACTGTGTTCTCTGTGTTGAAGTTTATGAGTTGGCTGCTTCTTTCTCCTGAATTTTGCCCATTGTCTCCATATAACATGAAACCGGTGGCCTGCTTATACTCTTAACTTTAGCTGAATCCCTATGACTCCATGACAAGTGGCACCATCTAACGGAGTATAATTACTTTTACCTGTTCTTGTTGCTTTTTCTTTCTGGTTCTTGTTGAAGTTCTGAAGGACTTTTGGGTTAAACGTGTTATTACTTTCTGCATTGTTTGTAAAATGTATTACCCATTCTTGCAGAGTAAAGTTTCAGGCTCAACAACACCCACTGTTAGGCAACTGAGATCTTTTCAAACTGAAAATATCAAGAACAGAAATAGAGAATAGGAAACAAATAGTTTTTCTGTATTAAAATTAGTAGACGACTGTGCTAAAGAGCAATCCCTTTCTGAACCAAACACAACTTCTCAAGGACCAACTCAACAAATGTCTGACTAACGTCTACTATAACTCTTTGTCTTGAATAGACCTTTGGACTTGAATTACAGACTGGGCATCCTAACCCACACCTACAGTTTCTTACCTCTTCTTGTGGTTTGTGAGCTCAGTTCGTCCAGCATTAGAGCCACATGACATCAAGATCTTGTTTTGGCATATGTTAGGACTGTTGGAAAGGGGTAGTTAATTAGCATCTTTAGATCATTTGTAGGTAAAGGGAGTTACTGGAGGGAAAGGAATTGTTTCATATTTGTTATCATTTGTAAATAGACAATAATCTCTTTGGGATATGAGGAATCGTTGTGAAATGGAAACCTGATCTCTCTCCTTTGTTCTGTTGTGTTGCCATCAGTCAAGAAATGCTATCTTTCTTTTCTTTTCTCTACTTTCAGTTCCAGGTTGCGAACGGTCTCATTAATGAATGGCTAGGTTCCGAATATGATGAGTAATAACTGTTGCCATGCAGTTGCAGTTCCAGCAGATTGAACTTTATGATACACACTAGCATTGCGTTAAGGTTCTCCACTTAATGGTTTATCCTGAATTCTCTAAAGAAAATACCTTTTGTTTTGTACTTATACACACCGTATTTTAATCTTCCCTTGTATTTTAGATATTTATATTTTGGCAACCAAGAATTAATTTGTTTATTTCATACTCGTAAGATTTGTATTACCAGAAGCAGTATCACAATCATCTTTTTCAGTGTTATATTTAAGAAATTTATTATTTGTAAATAATAGATGCTTCTATTCTGGAAAGACAGTATGTAACATATAGGCATGATATAACTGGAGCATTACAATTTTCATTCGTGACCGTTATTATGCAAAGATCTTATGCATGTCTTGAGCAAGGCACGACATGCCTTAGTTTACACTAAATAAATGTTAGAATATACAAAAATATCTTATCATATCCTATCACATTTTAAATTATCTTTTGGTTCAATTTCTCTGTTCATCTTTATCTCTTATGAATAGTTATCATCTTTCTTTATCTTAGTATGATTTCCTCCACATGTTTAGTTAGATTAATATACATTAGAGTTAGTATTATAAATTTAATGAATATATAAAAAATATTCTGAAATTGTGATATATTTCTATTAACATTAATTCAGTGATAGATTTCTCTCAATTCTTTCCTTTCCTCCACATGGTTATCTAGAGCAGTATGCGATGTCATCCTCTTTGTCTTACTGTTTTCAACTTCATTCTTTCTTAAAAAATAAAATTAATTTGTTTTATAGAACTTTCTCCCGAACTTATCTTACTTTCTGCAACTTTTTGCTTAATTTCGAATAGTTAAAATTGCTGTGTATCTTCTTCTCAGAAAGTTTGTATCTCCCTTTTTGGCTCCATGGTTGAACTCGCTTGCCTCTGTTCAAATCTGTGATAGCTTTGGACTTCAGGTTGAGTGTGTCTCCTTCAATAATATGTTTTTTTGTCTTTATTTTTACCCTAGCTATGTCCCATGGAGTGTTGTCGGTGTCCCAGTCTTTACTTCTTTGGATGTGACTTTAGGCTTTTACTTTGATGTTGTTTGTCTCTAGCTATTTTTTATATCTTATTTGGTCTTTGGATCTCTCTTGAATGTCTTTATGCTATGTTAGTTTAGTGCCTTAATGAGCACCCTTTCAGTCCATAAAGGATAATCTGGAAAGTAAAACTACTGCTTCACACCTGATCT